GAGTGTCTCTTCCTTCAGCACAGCCTCTCTATATCAAGAAGTTTCGGATCTTGGTATCTCTCAGCAGCAAGATCATCCTCCCTTCGATGCTCCAGGATCGAGATCGAGCCATTCGAGCTCGTAGAGCGATACGACCACCAAAAATCTAATGCATATACTGCATATTTAGTGCATATTCAGTGCATATTCAGTTATCAGTTATCACTAGTCAGAGCTTGTGATTTAGTGTAAATAATTGAGAAATCAAATCATGCGGGGGAAGTTGTTGTGTTGAACTTCCGAACTTGAGCGCGCTCTCCAGAAACAGCGTCAACGAGCTGTCAGTCAATAAATGACCGATCATTCCCGTTCGGGCGGTCGTGAAAGGAACAGCGAGTCATTACTGAAACTAGGAGTAAATAGTAACAATAATTATGAAAACAAGACGCTGGACGTGAATGATTCGAGTGAGCTTTTCGATAGCGGATTCGAGTCGGGTTCTCCAATGGAATCAGCTCCGGAAGAGAATGATAGGATTCGCGTACAAGGAAAGGTTCACCTAGGACCTAGGTACCGCTGAAGTCATCCATTTCCCTCACTAGATCGAGTTTCTCGATCCCTTGAGCCATTCGAACGATTGTCCCGTCCCGAGTCTGTTAGCCAATCTAAACGGTATCAGTACTCACGGCTCACGATTCTAGGTCCAATTGATGAATATGAAGAAGAGAGTAACTCTGGGCGAGCTTTTCTTGAACAGAATCAGCTCAGCGTCGATCGCTTCCTCCTTCGAACGCAAGTAGGGTTGGACCTGGGAGAAAAGACCCGAACGTATGATCCAGCTGCAGCCACGGGCTGGCGCAGTCTCGTACTCCTAGCTCCCTTGAAATCCCACACGAGTTCAGCTTGGGACTGGTTCCGCACATGTTGTGGCTGGATTTGATTCGTGGACTTCTGTCATGAATAACTAATCATGGTCCATCTTTGAAATTGTATGCTGGCAAGTTTTTTCGGATAAGCGTATGGACATCTGTCGCGGCGAATTCTGAAAAAAACTGACAGGTATTTCTCCTTATCCGCTCCGTGCTCTCATCACATCAGACTCCCGATAATTCTCGATTTCCGGGAATCGTGCTCCGGAGATTTCCGAGCCTTTCGAATTGTGGAGACGCCTGGGATGAGGAGAGGAAAACTCGGGCAACTGGGCCGAACACCACCCAGGCCAAGGGACCAACTGGGCCGAACGCAGTCGAGCAGTAGATTGAATCGTCGGAAAAGTTCTCAGATCCGGTCGGATGAGATGCTCGTTGATGGGAGACTCCACCTGACTCCGCCTGCGAAACAGCAGAGTCTCGCATAAGCAATCGATCGCTTGGCGACCACTTTATCGTTCAACTGAGCTGTATCATTGATTCCATGCATTCTTTGCATTTCTTGAACGTTCCCGACGAAAAAGGAACATGAGGGGAAAATCCTCTACTTATCGCGATAGAATTAACGCGCCGTCGACTTCGGAAACCAACTCACTGTCAGACATGGCTCCGCTCCCGCATCTCGAGTGAATAGAGTTATGTCTCGAGTCTGAATCGGAGTATTCAACGTCCCCATGAACAGAGCCCGAGCTTCTACAGGACGACAAGGTCGCGCATTTCTGCAGATTGCTGACGGATTGCTTGAGGGACTCTCGAGGTTTTTGGGCTGCTGTGCCTTGGCTCGCTCTCCGAGCATGTAGGGCGCGGAAAGCCGCGTACATTAACTCAGCAGGTCCGGCAGGCATCAAGTCGTTGACTCTGCTCCTCTCAGTCCTCTCCGCAAAGAAGCTTTTCTGCGCGAGGTGTGTCTTGAGACGCTCCCGATGCTCCCGGTGATGCAGGCTCCCCGGGCGAATCGGAAAACTTTCCGTTGAGCTGATCGGGTTCTTCCGTGAAAAATCGATAGCTAAAAAGATGGCCACAAATGCTCCGGAGACACCCCAACTCGGATATCTGAGGAAATTACGCATTTACGTTCGCCAGAATTAGCCGGAAAAGATCGGAGGGAGGGTAGAAGAGCATATCCCACCTAATACCGCGCCTTGTCCGTATTTTTTTCGGCAGTGAAGTCTCACGAAAATCAGTCATTTTTCGCGCAGTGGAATGTATCAACAAAATACTCTCATCAAGCGTCAGCTCCGTTCCGCGTCGATCCGGGAGAGATCCGAAAGTCAGTACGAATCCTTCCAGAGGGAAAAATAGACGGTTCGAGACAAGAAAGAGTTCTTATTTCCAGAGCCTCTCCACTGACGCTCAAAGTGGCTGGTGTCGGAGAGGGATCTGTTTTCGGAGTCTCCAGAGGTCCTCCAGCACGCTCCAACTTACATTTCCAGGGAAAGGAATAAAACTCCTGCCGCCTAAAACCGGGTTTGGCCACACTGTGGACCGAAGAATACGGAAAAGCGATGCCGGTAGTCTGTGCACACATAAGACTGCAGGATCATCTTCAACTCACTTCACGTCAGGGTTCCCGGATAACGGCGATGAAGACCCGCTGAGTGACCGTCAGGCAGGAGAAGACCGCGAGTCCGCAGCGCTTCGGATCGATTCGAATCTAGCTTTTGCTGCATCGAAGTGAATGATTATACAATGACGATGAATTTCTGCCCCGCACAGTTTCCTCAATCCAATAGAGGGGCTCAATTACGCAGGTGGGAAACGAAGGCGGAATAGGCTCCGGAGAAGATTCGTGTCTCGCCGTGCTGACGAGCAAAGTGTTCTCTCTTGAAGTCTGTACCTGACTATCCGTATCTCGTATAAGTATGGCTGACTGACTGCTTTGGAAGGCAGATCATCTACGAGGGCAGGCCCTGGTAGATCATCCGAAATGAGTATGTACCTTATTATGAATACTTGACCCATGTAGCGTACCCGAGGTGCTACCACGACCCTGTTCGACGATCGGAAGAGCCGGACTCAGGACCCGTTGCCAATTCATGAGAATCGTTTGACGGAGAGCGATCGACCAATATCCTGGAGAGAAGAGCATCCGTCGAATACGAGAAATATAGGTCCGCCTCGGTAATCTACTCCGGAACCTCCCTGACGACGCCGACGGCAGCGTCATCAAAGCGCGCGGCTGCATGCGACGCTCGCGTCGATCTTGTCTGTGACCACGCGGATCATAGTGCGGAGTTTGTCGCTTAGTTCCATTGTCTATGGAGGAGCGTATGCACAGATATGTACATATGAATGTCGGTCCATGCAGTGGAAGTCACGCTGGGTCACTGGTGACATCATGTGGAAACTGCGGGGGAGCGGATTCACCATTGCTGGAAGATATGATCATGAGAGAAACGTATGCGAGGTGAGTAAAGTTGGCAGGGTGAGACGTCACTCATGTGCGCCCATCAGCGGAGCTCTCTCGTAGCGGCAGCGGCCACAGCAGCAGATATTTGGTCGGCATATCGAAGACGATTCGATGTGGAAGCCCGAACAAACAACTACGCGGAGGAAGCGCATCGCCGAACGCAGCCCGAGTTTGGCATCAGCCATCCTACCTTGTGGAAGCTCATCGATGGGCTCAGAAGGATCCAAGAAAACCGAGGCTTCCAGATGGAGCAGTAAGTTGAAGGCGCGCCTAAGAAGCGCAGCAAATTCATGGGGACGGCCAATCGAATTCTGACGGCTGTCCGCGATGCTCCCACCGACAGAATCCTCCCCGGGTGCCAGCATTGTTTCCGATAACAATGAAGGCGGCCACGTTCCGTGACGAGGGAAATCATGAAAGTACCGAGTCTCGGCCCAAAGCTTCCGCTTGGGCTGAAGGATGTGCCGGTCAATTATCAGAACCAGATGGATCATCCTCTAATTTCACGGTCGAGGAGGATTGAACGATCAACAATCAAGATGAAATCAAATTTTTCTTCCTTCGCAAAAGCGAGGAAGCATCCGCGACCCTCGAACCAACGTGAAATCCCATCAGCATGGTTATTCATCTAGGAGCGGGCAAGAGTAGGGAACCATCATTTTCTGTTGCTCCTCTCCCCCGATGAATGCTCGATGATCTTACGAGACGGGGAAACTCGGTGAACAACCCTCCTATTTACTCATCGGTTCTCAGAAAAGTCGAAGTTCCGCTGGATAGCACTCTACACAGGTCACAGAAGATGATGGACAACTTCACGGGAGCCAATCTCGCCCATGACGTATGAACTCGAGCAGCGAAACTTCCAGGTTATCGATCTGAATCAGCTTCTGAGAGACCTGGAGATCCGGCTCGGTCTTCATAAGCCCTAGCTGAGCTCGGAGTTAGCCCCCATCAGGACGCTTCTCACGATCAGCTCCACACAACAAGTCGTTGTTACCATTCGATTGAGTCCCGCTGCGAGGAAATATTCGATTGAGGTGCGCGAATGTGTCCCCCTACCTCATGAGGATAATCTGCGCGATTGACGCGTTCCTCGGACTTTCAAGCCAAATTCCTTCTCTCCTCGGCCAGGATGAGATTGCGTCTGAGGCTAACGAGATGGGGAGCGCATGGAGCACCTGATGCAGAGCCAAATGGCGAGGGCTTGGAAAATAGAGGAGAAAGACTCCTTTCGCGCCTTACGGACGTCATTCGCGCATCGGACTTGGCACTGTTGAAACTTTCTAGGGGCTCAAGATAATGATGAGGATTCCACGAAGGGCCAAACTGACTGACTGCCGGAAAGATCTCACCAACCCGAGGAAGACGCGCTGATTGGTAAAGGGGATTCGCTGCGCTTATTTTTCCCTCTCTTTGACAGATGAACTCACCGAGAGTTCGCAAGAGAAACTCTCCGTTCGGAGGGCGGAATTCCGGTTGTCTGAGCGTCAACCTATTCATCAAAATTCACGGGATGATGTTCGTTCCAAGTTCCAACGACGAGATTTTTATTATCACAGTTTGCGTTTTCACAACAATCGCAATTGACGCATAGAATCAAACAATAATAGAATAATAGCTACTGATAAATACAGACTGCGTGGAATATATTAAAATATGGGCATATAATTTACAGTGGAAATTTACCTAAAGTGACTCTGCCTACGCTCGTGTTGACTCTGCATGAGCTCTGCCAAATTTTGCATCCCCTCGTTACACTGCCAGTGGAAATGCAGCTCTGTCTGCGTTTGGAATCGGCAGTCACAGCGATCACAGAGGAAAGTTTCCAGCTCGAGATGGAGACGGCGATGTTCCAGAAACGCTCCTAGGCTGATGAATAGGAACTTGCACGTCGTACATTGCAAGTACTGGTATCCCTCGTGCAAGCCTCGATGAGCCGCGAGAGCGAAGGAAGAGGCGAATCTCGCCGGACAAAAGGAACAGTCGTACGCCGGTATCTGGCTGAGACTGGAAACGTTCCCTTGGTCTCCCGGAGGCAGCGAAGCGATGCAGGCATGCTCCGCTCGATGCGCGATCAGCTGTGAGTTGTTCTCGAAGGTGATGCGACAGCGATGACAGGGGAAGACTTTGTCCGCTAGGTGGGTCTTCAAGTGCTCCAGGACTGCGAGCTCACTCGGGAGGATTATGAGACACTTCGCGCAGACGTTCGGCGTCCGTCTGGCATGGAGCTTGAGGTGCGAATACCATGCCAGCACGCTCTCGAAGACGCATAGGCACACAGGGCAGTCCCAGCGATAATGACCCTCTCTAGCGGGTAAGGAATCTGCAAAAAGATCTTCGATGAAGCGATATATCGATCACGATCCTCCTCGAGAACTTGTGATACTGTCGGAAGCTGTGAATTTATGGAGTACGTATTCTCAAGATACCTTGCCATAAGAGTGGGGATCTCGGAGCACCCATTCTCAACCAGGGCCTCGATTCTCGTTTTTCCTCTTGGCTATTCCTCCCATCGCCAAGAAGATGATCGAGCCTGACTTCAGGGATGTAGTCCGCGAATGGATCTTCGCTACTCACTTCCCCGATTCCTTCTCCCACCGGGCTTCCTATGAAGGTGATCCTGCCATATCGTTCGGCTCGGATCCGAGGGACGCCGACGCCACGGTGTTCGAGTTCGACGGGACTGCGCTGTAAGGTTCCGGCGCTCATCTCGGAGCCATCCGCCGAGGCTTCGCCGAGAGTTGCATCACGGCGGTCCTCGTCGCGGGCCACGCTACTACAGCTATGGTGAGCTGCGGCGCTCGCCGACTCACTCCGGGGTCCTGTCTGGGCTCGTGCTCCGCGGGTGGCGCTCCCGAGATCTGGCTGGAAGGGCTCTTCGGAGGCGTCGACTCCGGCGTCGCCCTGATGCTCATCGCAACTGAGATATTCGTCTCCGCTGGAGTCGAAGTCTCCGTGAACCTCGCGATCGTCGGCGTGATCGCCAAGGGACTGATGTTCCTCGTCCAGGCAGCCGTCGTCCTCGTTCACCACGCCATCGTCTTCCTCGGGGTCACTTTCCTCGTCTTCGTCGAGCTCAGATTCTTCATCGAGCTCGCTGTCTTCGTCCAGCTCGGAGGACTCGCTATCCTCGGTGGACTCACTGTCCTCCGAGGAATCGCTCTTCTCTGTATCTCCGTCATCCGAGGAATCTGTCTCGGTGTCCTCGGATACGGGCCGAACACCGAGTAACTCCTGGGAAGAGATCGGAGAGCTTCAGGGGAAGTACTACGCCTCGAATCGCACCCCGTGGAATGAGCTCAAAATTCGGAAGATGTTTTTCGCTAATGAAAGGATAATTTTCTCGATAGATACCTCTTCGACTCCTCTCGGAGCGGTGAGAACCTCCGAGGATCGCTGAGCGAGGTGGTCGTTATTGTGCGGGGACGCTCCTCCGATTCCTTCCCCTGGCATCGCAGTGCTCTGAGTCGATGGCGATGCGGATGTTCGTTCCGACGTGCGAACTGCATCTGCAAACATGTTGCACATCATTGTTCCGGACGAAAGCAGGTACTCGCAATTTTGTGAACATCCAGCCGATAGTGCGCATCTGCATAAGGCGCCTCGACGCACATACCTCCAGATTCCTCGGGAACAGCTTCATCCTCTCCGTTGGATGAAGACTCGACCAGGGGGGCTAATCTCCTCGTCGAGAGGTCGAGCGCCGTGATTTCTTCTAGAAAAGGAATGAAGATCCCTTTAACGATCCGACCGGGGCTAATTCGCGAACTTCAAACGAAGCGCGGATACATTCCATGGAATACGCAGAAAAAAACATAACTCACCTTGGAAACGCCGAATATCTTCTGGCGTGCAGTTACCGAAGAGCTGGTCGTAGACCAAGTCTAGGGGATCCTGTCGGAAGGAGAAACTCTTAGTCCGCTGGCTAGAGCTAGATTTTCTCGTCGCTTCTGGGGCTCGGTTCTAACGGGAAGATGAGACCAATCCGGAAGAATCACTAACCTCATCAGGATCGGCTCGAGACATCTGCTCTTTGATCTCTGATGGAGAGACGCCGAACCCCTCGTCCGATATCTGTCCAAGCAGACTCCAGTCGCTGCTGAAGTCACTGGATGGAGAGTCATCTGCGAAGCGGGAGAAAGATGTGAGAAGATGATTTTCTCGATATCTCCCCGAGATACCGCTGACTTGATTCGGAATCGTGAATCAGCCAAGGAAGGCAAATGATATTCACCTGAGGATGAACTCCCCGCGGCAGATTCAAACTTCTGAACTGCCGCCTTGCCTTCTTCACCAGAGTTCTGTAAAGGAGGTGAATGAGTGAAATGAACCACGAGTCGAGGGGAACTCCAGTTCGGACGAGCGGGGACCCCCAGTACACCGGGTATCCAGCATGATCGTGCAAGATTGTTCTATGGTGCTCGACTCCGGAGACGCCCTCTCTCGAAGGGATGATCGAATTGTGCTTGCGGTGTGTCCTCGGGAATGAATCCTCTGCCGTTCTTATAAGCGTTTGGAAATTCCTCACAAAACTCACCAGTCTTCGTGAAGCCATGCTCTATCGGAGATGTAGTATGACAATGGAAACGGACGTCACGACTGGATCGGGTTCCTGAAGATGACTCTCAAACGTTATCGGACCTCTTAATTAAGGCTCGAGAGCTCGGGGAGAGACTCACGCCAGCGTCAGCGCCCTCTGGTCGCAAGGTTTGCGCCTACGGACGCTGTCCGTAGAGGCGAGCGTAAGATATCCAGCATGGCAGAGAGTTTGACTTGATCGCCGCGCCGGCAGCTCGGCGGGGCCACCCTATGGCAGCGCCTATGAGAGGAACTTCCTAGAAATCGGTCGACTGGATCCATTCGTCGGGGTGCATTTTCGGTCAAATTCGGTGTCGATGGCCGACAGTGCCCGAGGGGTTCACCCTGCACTGCTGACGGGATGCACAGCAAAGCGCGGGATCGCCTCCGTGCTATCTCATTCTTAGCTCGAGCCGAATCCAAAGCAGGATCCTCGTTTTATAATGAATGCCTCAGCACGTCCTTACAGCGTGGCATCCGCGTAATGGAGATGACCGCGCGGGGAAATTCCAATTCCCGTGATATCATCCGGTGAGCCTCACCGAAGGAAAATGACAAAATACCCCTAGGTGATTCAGCTTATCGACCAAGATTGAATCACAGTCAGTCCCTCGGAAGTCTCTTGCCGCATCGATCTATGCTTAGCCGGAGTTCGCCCGATACTCCGAATGCGGGGAGTGCCGGGGTTGAATTACTCTCTTCACTTCTCATTGCACCGTCACCGTGTTGGCAAAGTCAAGAACGAGCTACCTACGACGATTTTTTTAGGAAGGTGCGGTGAACATACGATCAGGTTCGGACGGCGAGCAGCGATGCTGCTCAACTACGATTTTGAAGCAGAAACCGTCAGCCGTTGTACAAAGTCGCCCCGTCAGACTGAGAGCCTTAAGCTAGCGATTCGTGGACGAACAAACCTCGAAGAGAGGAACATGAGCGATGCAGTGCCGTTTCGTGGAATCACTCCGCCCCGGCTCCAACAGTTCGCTCTTTCGCTCTTCGCGATTTCCGCCAGAACGCTCGTTCAGCCCGCAGCGTAGATATCCATCTCACCAGGCTCGTGGGTTGATTCTACAAAGTACGATGTCTTCTCCGCCGGCGCCGTACGGTCCATCTGTGAGCCCGAGAGCTCTCGAGCTCGAATACTTGGTATGCACAGGGCTAGACGGGCGCAAGAACCGGAGTTTCTTGTCCGCTCTATGAGTGCAGGCGGAAACCGAGAGTTGAGAATCACTCGACTCGAAACGGTGCGCTCAGGAACAGTGATCCTGACGCAGCTCAAAGGATATTCGCATACCTACATTCCTGTTGTTCTTTTGATGTGCTCCTACTTCGAATTAAATTACTGAATAACACCGCGGACAGTTTCGCTAGAGCGAAGGTTTCGGTTTCGCTTTTCAACTCCGGGAGTCTATAACCCACGGCCCGATGATCAACCTCCTGAGAAGACACCGGCGGCTACCGAAGCTCAAAGAGGGACGATGAAAGTATCTCCTTCATGACTTACAATGATGAGGAGCGGTTGGAAACGGGAAAGCTGGTATCCCCACTTGCTCGGAACACTTGTGGTCTTGGCTCTCGGTCTTCATCTCTGCGAGTGTTTACGTCAGCGTCGTTGCTCGCAACTCAAATCGAGGTCCGACATGGGAACATGGATGTGCATCCCCTACAGAGCTGACGAGTGGACAGCACTCCGAGAGAATGAATGATTCCGACTCCAAGTCGAAGATTTGAGTGGTTGGCGGAAACTTGCATCACCTAATACGAAGATCCTGGAAGCCACGATCGGTGCGCATGCAGGCTTTTGCTCTCTGTGAGGGCTGATCGTGAGGAGGTTCTCACGCGCTGTTCCAACACTGAAGGTGAAAGGAGACGGACGAGGAGGATCGGAGTCAGACGAGCGCACGCCGTTTTTCTGGATCCCGTTATACACGAATCTCACTTCTCACGATCATGAACTCCGTCGGCAGGATTGATGCACGAGCATCGATGATGTATCAATCTCGAAACTCTCGAATGTTTAGGATCTTGAATGACCGAGGACAGAAATCGAGGGCTGACTGCATCCAGATATGTGGGGTGCCGATCTCGACTCCCCCCTTCCCCCCTCGGCCGAGATTTGCCTCAAATGGTCAAACAGTTTCTCTCTGAATCGGCAGCTCCTCCTCGGAGATTTGAATTCATAGAATTGGCAGCCTTTGTCCCTCCCCGTTCGTGGTCGCTGATTGCCTGTTCCCCTGTGCCCCCTTATCAATATTGACGATCGGTTATTTGAGAATTTGGTGATCGAGTTAGCACCCTTCCATCAGCTAGAACGAGGTGATCATCAAAAAGTCATTGTTTGGCAGGGAACTACCGACTCCTATAATTTCGGAGGTGACAATTTTTTCGAATCAAACCGCTCGCTTGGTGGTAAATTTTCTGGTTTGTGAACAAAAATCCCCAATGTACCACTCAAGAATCATTCGTCAGATGAAGATCCCCGAGGAGAGCATGTGACCAGCGACGCGGCCTTCCCAACGTACAAACCAGAAGCTCGCTGTAGCATTCGGAGGAATCCGTCTGCTACCCAAGCAATGCATCTCATCCCGCTCATCACCGGTCGATGCGGTTGATCTCCCATTGGGTTCCCGGGCCTCGAGATCGAACAACATCTCCCATCGATTGATCCGGAATGGATTCTCATTGAATCATGATTACTCCTGAATATTCTTCCGCTACATCAGATTCTCGCGATGATCACTCTCTGTCCGACCGGATCAATGTATTACGAAATTACCTAAGTGATAAGTACAAGCGCTTCTTTCGGGAAGCTCCGTTTCGGGTCAAGCATGTTCGGCTTCCACAAGGGTCTCCGGGCACGGTCACAATCGTGGAACGAGCTTCGGCTCTATTGAAAGCATGCGGCGCGTGTCGATAGAATCGGGGCGAATGCAATCACTACTGGCGATTCTATAATACAAAAAGGGAAAGATTTTCCTCTTGAACAATCTTCCCCTTTACGAGATCCATCGCTCGGGAATAAACTCTTGAATGGTGCTCCAGAGCCCCGCCTGAGTGTATAGCGCATAGAATATTTCTTCTCAGTATCCTACCGTCCCGCGTTGCTCCGGGGCACCGTATTGAATCTATTCGTGAACTTCTGCCATGTTTCAGTAATCATGGTGCATCAATGTAGTTGTAAACTGGCAAGTTTTTCCGGTAAAGCAACTAAAGATCTGTGGTGGTAGCTCCTGAAAAAAAAACCGGCAGGTCTTTCTACTCATCCGCTTTGTGCTTTCCTCACGTTAGACTCCCGATGATTCTCGATTTTCGGGAAGCGTATTTTCAGAATTCCGCGCGTAACGAAATGCGGAGATCAGCCGGAAGACGTGAGGGACGAGAACATGAAAAGTCGCCCAATTCGACAATGAGTTCTCGATTCTCATTCGCTCGTACGGAGGTCGGATCCGTTTCAAGTTTGGAATACTCTCGGTGCTCGATTATGAACCCCCGCCTTCACCTACTCAACTCGTTAGGGATCATACGAACACCAAGTTTTCCCACCTGACTTGGGCGATTCGACAAAATCCTGACAGTCTCTCTTCTCATCCTTTTAGTGAAACTGATTCCTGGGACCTCGGTCTCGCGGGGAAGTTCTGCCCTTGAGCGAAAAGGGAACCAATCAGGTCTCACTATTATAGGTACCTATGGTGAACCTCGCATAAGTAAGTTTAGGTTTCGAGATTGGGATTATTAGACTGGACCTCTCACTCAAGAAATCCCGTGAATCGACCCCGTCGAGTGACGATGCCGAGGATCCATTGATTCGATCATCGTTCTTTCGTCTGACTCTGTAGTTGACTGCGACCGTCTCCGTGGGAGATGCTCAGAGACTCTCCGACCAGCTTCCCTCGTTCGTTCTTGATCGCGGTCTCAAGAAAGGAGCTCCTTGAATGTCCCATCGTACCGACGACTGTTCCAGGATGTTTCATACGCCAATCGATGCCTTCTCGTTCGAGGATCTCGGTGAACTGACCGGCTCTGCTGAGAGCGGGATCGGCGGGCGGGAGACGGAAGATTCCGAACTCGCTCTATGCATGTGGCCAGGATATCCATGAGGTCGCGCTAAAGATTTTCCGGAATGGGTCGCCTTGGATGGTTCAGAGACGTTGCCTTTCCTTCATGGCTGGACAAGGACACCGATCGGGATTTGATGTCTCGCGATACGCTTCCATAGGGCTCATTCTCAAATCAAATCGATCGGAGGCTTGATTCAAAGATCAAATAGGAGTAGATCGCAAACATCTATCCCGGTCCGAAACGAGAACACCGCGTCTTGTCGTCCTCGTGGCATTTATGGGAATGCTGAGGATCATTCGGCGGCCCGAATTACGGATGTGTCTTGTGATTAGGCTTCCCAAAACATCGCGAATGCTCCTGAGAAGCGCGGTTCGCTCCCGCGGTTTCGTGCGGTTCCTCATGGTTCCCCAGAAATATCCCATGTTGAGCTGGAACCGCGGTTTTTTGGGAAGCCTGCTTATGAGCAGTTTCGCTCGGAGATCCCGCTGTTTTACGACTCGGTACCGCAGACAAATGAGCTTTTCCTACTTTTTCAGTCCCCCAGTCACGTAACGCTCGAAGAGCAGACAGAAGTCCGATATTCGTTGCACGAAGAGTGTACATGGAACACTCCGGGGAAGCCTGGACAAAAGACGTTCTCACGTCAGCAACGAATGTACTGAGCCCGCGGGCCGGAAGGTTGGCTAACCCACCAGTACTTCCGGAGCTTTTGAATGCGCTCCTTTTAGCATTCGATCGGCAACAGAGACAATCCGCAGCCTAGATGAGTCTTCGAGTCATACACCGAAAGTATATCCTTATCCTTTGTACCTTCCGCATCGGAGGATAGGAGATTCTTAGGGTCAATTTTCGCGGCTCCATACGAATAAAGTCTCCACTGGACAACAGTCGTGATAATAATTGAAAATTATAATTAAAATAATTATAATCGGTATATAATCTGTTAGCGTGTCTGCATAATCTGCATTAAAATCTGTATTAATGATTATAATTGCAATTATAATTATAATCTGTATATTATGATGATGATGGACGCTGGATGCGGGGATCATGATGACTGCTCGGAAGTCAGTATCAGATCCTCGAGAAAGGCGGAACCAGCGAAGAATGATTCTCCGCTTCCAGGTTGCCTCTACTTCATCGTGCAGACGAACTCCGGGGACACTACCACCTCGAGGACTGATCGAACACTTATGTTTCTTTCAACCTTGTACACCCTGGATGGGCGGAATCCGGCAGCGGGAGCGAAGTGATCACCTGAGTACCTGCGTTCATTTGGGGACAAGAAATCGACGAGCAAGAATACCTTCATGATCAAAGAGATCGTATCAGGCGGAGGACGAGTTCCGTTAAGCAGAATCTCAGTCAGTCAAAACTCCTATATCCCTACCGTACATATACCCGCAGCGAGTATCTCGATGCTTGCTCGATGTTCTCGGGTGATGGCAGGCAAAAAAGTCACGCAATCCCGCTCAAAAAACAGGCGTGAGATACTGGGGATGAGCTGTCGTTTACGTTTCGCTGCCGCTTTCTTTTTCCGCTCTTTCCGAAACGCCGTCGGTGGGATTCGAGAGCTATCCGATGGGCGAAAGCCACGAACATTATTTCGTGATGACCACCAAGGCTGTCATCGGGGGAACCTTCGATTCTGGTTCAATTTTGGTCGCTGATGCTGGCTGCTCTGATGCGTCGTTTATCCTCCCATTGATATGATTATCCATTGTGTGAGTCTAGGCGTTTGTGTTTGGAGTAACAGTGCGAGAGAGTTTGGCAATTGGCCCTCACTAGCCCTGCGTCTGGTGAATCGCGGCGGATGTAGCTTTTTTCCAGAGGTCGTCTGTAACAGTCCCTTCACTATCCGTCAACCGGTCCATTGAGCGCTTCGGAACCTTGCGTGACCCCCCACGGACGGAAACCGATGGGTTTGAATGAAAAAAAAAACTTGGAAAAAAATTGCCTCTCCGACTCCCGTTTGCTCCGACACATTTCGTTGTCAGTTCCGAAGTTGCTCGTTTAGAACGTGAACGCTTCTTCCGTGCGTCATAGTGTACACTATCCTCCCGAAGCATGATCAGTGTATGTGGATATCGCCAACGACGAGTCACACGCATTTCGCCCGCTCGGTTTTTCCCGATCTCGAATCCCAGACGATCCACCTTGAGAATTAGCCGAGGATTCCACCTGGAACGATTCCGTTCTGAGGGCGATGTAGGGAGTTCCGAGTCCTCCGCGAACGAGATCTCGGTGTTAGGTTGCTAAATTTAAGCGAAGGTTTTTCGGAACGTCTTACAGTTATTACGAGTAGCCTGGTTCAGTGCTCTCATGGGATTTGGCGCATGCTGGCTCTTCGGGTTCTCGTACCAAAACGTGCGGATGTGTTTTCTTTCCTCGGCCATCACTCTCCAGAGTCAGTGCGTCCTTTGTCAACAGCAGAAGTACCTGACGGCTGTCAACGGATGCACTCGAAACGTGAGTTCAACTCCTTCCGTCGCGCCGGTCTTGCCCGAGGTACCCGGGATGACGGCGCAGCGCTACTCTCTTAATTCGTGCGCTAAGAGGGGCGCAGAGTCGCGGTTGACGGTCGATTCTCTGGCTTGACGGCCTTGACAGGCGAATCCTTTCGCGCGAAAATACTCGAGGAATATCCTTAAATTTCACCGTCCTTTGCATAATGGACGAGGGGCGACACCGTTCAGGTCGATTCGGAAGAAAAACGAGCCATTCGACCTTGTCGGCTCAAATCGATCACGACCCTTGACGGTGGCCACCTGGGAATAGGGGATTCCGTCAGGAAAAATTCCGTGAGGAAGGATCGCCGACTTAGGAATTCTCGCAGGCGGTCCTCATGAACAACACGAAATAGCGCCGGCCACGCAGTTGGCTTTCCTCACAATCTAAAGGGGCTCCAAGGGTTTCTGCTCGAGCACTGATTCAATTCCGAGAGTAATTTGCTCGGAATTAATTGTCGGGCGTCGTCGCAGACGCGTTTCGCCTGAGAGTCCGAGCTCCTGTCACCCGGTCTCTCTCTCTCAGCCGAGTTTTAATAGTTGCCGATTACGGTGGAGATTGCTTCTCGAGGCTAATGGAGGCGGAGCTATCTGCAGGAAGACGTACCCGGAGAAGCTGTTCGAGTGTGTGACAGGTCTGAGGATCTTGCTGGAGGAGTGCCACTCTGGATGATTTACAGCTGGACCAAGAGTCAGCATCGGAATCCTTCCTGTCAATCGCAGAAACAATCGTGGAAGCGGCTCAGGGCGACAGGCTCATAGGCTGATCCGGTTTCCTCTGCGTCAGCAAGTGCGACCACTGATTAGTCTAATTCGGGATGGTCCATTCTGGGATCCTGTGTATTTGTGTCGTCGGTCGTCTCTTCACCGTCCCCAACGAACGGAGCTGCATCTCAGAGAGTGATTTGACTGCTGATTCGTCGAGTCGTTTCCGATGGGGAAGGTTCGAGTATTGGATGTCCATCTGAGCGCCCACAGAATCGGCGATTTCCTCTGGAAATATCTTCAGGAGGAGCTCAGTTCCCCTACAAATGGAGTCGTGTGAACGTGACACGGCGGATGGACTCGACACTTTTACCGTGGGGCAGAGCGACATCCATTGAAACCGCGTCGCAATCACAGCTCCCCGATCCGTGTCGGTGACGCACGCGATCAGAACGAGGTCCCGTTTATCGGTTCATGTTGTGGACTTCTCACACCTCACTCCGTTCCGGAACAGCGTAACAGGCTACCTATTTCCCCGGTACTGATATCCGAGAAACTAACGAACTCGAATATACACCCAAGGGCCCAAGCAGCAGGCGAGGCCACCTCTACAAGCAATGGTATCGAGTTTGTGACATTCTCCGACTCCGAGGAGGATTCAAGAAAACCGCTTCAGCCTCGGAAAAATTTGCTCCCTCCCCCGGCTCGTATTGCGTATTCTGATGTAATTCAATCCGTGTTGCTCTGCTCGAGCGAACCAGCCCTGGAACAATCGGGGGCGGGACGTCGACTGCCCGTCTCGGGACCGTCCGTGTGCGGAGCATCGCGTTGCTCTTGGAGAGCGCCCAAGGTTGTGTCAGACTCGTTTCCTAATCTCTCGTTTCACATCCCGGCGAGAGAATCGGATTCCAAGAGAGCGATTCTCCGGATTAAGATAGGTATCGCGTCCCAACTGATGGATGCATCGCACACGCGTCATTCGCAACCATCGGCCGTATGCCGAGAGCGCTTTCGAGCGCATACGCGGTTTCTGAGGCCGTGATTCCCTTTGCGCGTCCACTATCCCTGTGGTTAACAGCCGCTCGCCCGTTCACTTTGAGGACTATTGGTCGGAAAGCTTCTTTGAATGAAGGGAAATGAGCGGCACCGAGCGAGGGATGGTACAAAACATGACAGCCTGATTCCGGATATCGTCTCAGATATCGATTTCGAGTCATAAGCTGATTCGTTTACAATGCCAAGTTGACTTGTTGATAGCTTCATCGGCTTAGCATGCCGAGAATCAATGTCTGACAGAATTTGCGACGCATGTTTAAAGTGAGACCGGATTACGCTCTCGCAATCGTGTCTTAGCCCATCTCGATTCAAATCTCATTTACTGACCGTCGTGGGACGAGACATTGAGATTTCTGCACTTCGTGCGTTCATTCGACCGTACAAGACAGGGAATGTTTTCCCTACGAATAATATTCTAGGACTCAAGATTATAAGATAGCGAGCTGGAGGAGTACGAGAGGGTCCGGGCCGCGTTTTCTGGGAGAGGAAAGGGTCAACTCGGTCCCCGCTCGGTCAGTCGACATCAACATCCGTGGAGCTCTGATCGTTCCTTTCGGACCGTCATGTCATTATGTTTTATGATCCAAAAAATCCCGCTGTACCGATAGCCCGTCGTCCGGAGATCAGACTCGGCGATAAATGTCTCTGATAGGAGGGAAAATGTAATTGAGGCTTTCTCGATGAAATCCTCCAGAAGAATGATTCTCTTTCTTCTTTCCAGAATATACTGCCAGCAAACATCACACAGCGGGAGGCTTTCTGCATGATCTCATCGTGCATTGACGTACGTTATACTCCACTATACATGAGCATTGTCGTATACTTTACTCATTAATCGCCATACATATAAACGGGCAATTGGAGTCGCCAGCCTATCGCGTAAGGGGCGTGATCAGATTATCGAGACTTCAAAAACCTTAAAGCTTAGCTCGGTCGGAGAAACTACCGTAATGCCTCTAATTCGAGGGCATGCGTCCGACCCTCTGAAAGCTCTAGAGGAGCACTGAATAGTGGGTTCTCTCTATCTTGGCATGGCCTTCCGAACAAGATCATTATCATTATTAGTAATAATCGGGCTCATTGGTCTCGTTCGACGGGGATTTTGTTTTCACTGACTTCTAACCGACTTACACTGAGTGAGAGCTTCCCGGCCTGTCATGAAACTCGAATACCATCGAAGCTCACTGACATGAATGATTTCTCGGTATCCCGAGTCGATTAAAGGCGCACTTACGCGACTTGAAGGTTTCGCGACAACCAGAGGATCATAACAAGCCCGACTATCGAACCGTGCCCCTTGAGTTGGACTTCCTCCTAGTTGCCCGCTCGATAGAGCATACCCGTAAATATGAGCATACCTCTCGATTAGAGAAATCGCGACATGGTATATAGGAACAGGGGACTCTCAAGGAGTTCAACCATTTTGATGGCCGTGAGTATCCCCGACAACAGAGTGTCCTGGATGGGGCCGCTGCTATAAGCACTGGATCTCCCTCTCTTCCCCAGAACCCTCGACAACACCCGCAATTGATCGGTCGAAGACGACGACGAGAAGCCGCTGAGGACAATGTGGCCTATGAAGTGTACGTCAACGTTCAATTAGACGATGGCGCAGACTACGAAGACTAGCGCCCAAGGTCACGATCGTTGAAGGAATTCTCTTCGGATATTGTACGATCATTGTTCGCTTCTTCCAATAAATTGATCTTTTCATCAAATAACTGTCGGGGTTCAACTGATTTCTGGGCGAGGTTTCTGCCTCCATCGAGTCTCGCGGAATCCGTTTCCGTTGAATCCGTTCCGATGCCTCACCGATCTTGAGCCGGCTCGTTTGACAACTAACGGATTCACTCTTTCATCAAGCACTACTTCTGATTCAACTCTTTGTGACGTCACAGATTGCGGAGGCGGAGAGCGGATCTAGTAAGAAGTGTATCGTTGGATTGGCTAGTTTATATGCCGCCGAGGAAGCCAAATAGATTAATTGCTCGATCGAGGCGACGAGTCTTCCCGATTGTCGGTTAAAAAAAGAACGTCATTGCTCAAGCACGTACGGGTCGAGGGAAGTTCCAAGGTCGCCTGCGAGACAGATCCGGTAGAGCCCAATCTGAGGAGGTTTCTCCGTTCTAAACGGCAAAGGGCTGGCCTCGACCATAGCCTCGGCATGAGACCCGGAGTTCAGAGCTCACGAGCTGCTCCGCACGTCTCGGGCTGCCTAGTCAGCTTATTCAGAGTTACGTCAGGGAGGACAAAGATGCAAGGGCTTCGCCTATTTCGGGACAAACGAGCGGATCGGGCGAAGCCCCTTTCTCGTTATGATGTAACTCGCTTGCGATCCTATAGATCCGCCATTTCAATATGTGCTTTTGCGTAAGGGATAACAATCTATGAAGGGGTACCGATCGGCTGTTTCCGGGCTCATTGAATTCCAGAGCCGTTGCGAAAGCTCCTTCCGGCCATCGTTCGCGTCCACACGCTCGAAAATCGGCGATCAACGCAGCTCTACTTTCCATTCCCACCGAGGGAGTATCGGTGGAAATGTTTTGCCCCGCGATGCCTCAGAATGCCTTCAAGTTGGGACCTTACGACGAGATACTCAGAATATCACTGCAGGGAATGCGGCCGGGTCCCAGAGCTCGCCTCCGGAAGCCTTGATCGTCACAAAGAGCTTGGAGCTCGGAGTGGACTGCCTACATCGATACATAACTCCACTCCGCTCAGGGTCCGATGGCCCCCGAGAGGCCGCAGCGTTCTGAAGTTATGGCTAAGGACACCTGTTCACCCTCCGCCTTCGGCCATGACTCGCTCCCTAACACTTCGGCAAACAGCGAGAACATATCCATGGAACATGGGACCTCCCCGACCGGAAGTTTATGCCCAACATAAGCGGAGGCTGCATCGGGCGGGATCGTGTTTTGAAATTTATCTCAGTTAGTGCTTAATTACGAAGCCTTTCTCGGGCGAATTAAATGGACTCCGTAGGAATCTGAAATGCAATTTAAGGGAAGCGCTGAACCGCCGTCATGACTCAGCGTATGCCCTCGCGGTGCCTTGCCCGCCGCTCGCCCCGCTAGGATCCAACCCCGACTGGCTGGGCTGTGAGGTACATTTAACCCCGCCGACACAGCGGTGGGCATGAGTCATCGAGCGCTCATGGATTCTCGTCGCACAAAAGGCAACTTCATTGCTCCCATCGGCTTGCTTCCAACTCCCCGGGAATTGCCCGAGCCGAATTTTCTTCCGACTAAATCCAATACAGCGAGTCACCAAACAGACTGAGCGGAGAGCATTCTGTCTTTTTTCTCTAGTCGCGGCTTGAGAGCACTCCGGGAAGCTTATTCCTGCGACCGTTCCTCGTCGATGTTGAAAAATTCATCATTGCCTCGCTCGCAGAATGAATTTCTGTTCGGATCGACATAGGTACTTCGAAGGAGAGCAGAGAGTTTACCTGAGCTCCGACTTGCGCGTGAATTCCCGCCGACAAGATTTGTGACATTGATTTCGAGACGAATCTTTTTTTCCTATCGTGGCTCGATTTCGACGGAACTTCATACAACCAGTGGTGCGGCGATCATGTTCAGAATTTTCGCCCGCAGGTATTCCTTTTCTATTCTTGACGCAGAGTGTGTAGAGAAAGCCTTCCCTGCGCCAGACTCAACAGTCTTCTGGACGGCGAGTATCCTTGACGACGTTTTGACGCGATACTCGACCGAGCATTGCTACAACTTGGAGTTATCGACTTTCCAAAGGGAGACCTCGTTGCTATCTATTCTGTCACCAAGTCCACCAAGATCCGTAGACCAAGCCTGTTAGCCTTGACCATAGCCATTGCCTTGCAGCAGGTGAACGCAGGGTGTATGCAGGGGCAGAGTAGGCACGAGAAGGCTACGGGAAGCGGGGGAGGGGCAACTTCTATGTCCGACGGTTGGATCGTATCACGGTGGGAAACCAGCGGGAGCCGCTGTCGTCACTTAGAACGGAGCTGGGAGATTAGAGTTCCGTGGAATTAGAAATTGTGGAGCTAACCATGAGCTGGCCGTTCTCTCGACTGCGTCGGAAGTCAGCGAGCGAGCGGAATTCTTCCACGACGTGATCGAAGGGAGAACGCGTCAGCTGAGGCTCCGATTAGGGGACACGCTTGAGAATCCATAAATTTCAGGTCGATTTTCCCAGGATCTTCGGAACTCTAGCGGTTATGCTCAGTGAATCCCCGACAAATGTGTTCTGCCCCAGGTCGGGATACGCAAGACATGCGAAGCTCCGGTGCGAAACGAGCTCGTCTTCGCGACGTTCGAGCCCCTTCGACTGCGCTTCCATCGGATTGAAACAAGAATCTCTCCGGGTTGGATTGAAAAGACATCTGGGAATTCCGGAATATTCGTCTCTTTTATTGTGTGTATCTTCAGAAGGTCTTAGCTTGACATTGCTCAACGTTGCGTTTCGTTTCAGACAGCTGTCGAAGCGTAGTTCTCCTTTTGTTGACATCATACTTAAAATTTTTCGAAGATTTCTGCCCCACCCCCTCCCCCTCTCCGCATATACTTCTCCCGAATGTTTCGAGTTGATCTACGCTCGTAGTCTCTAGAACCCCTCCCATTACGATCGAAATTCGCAGATCCAGTCGTGAGACTTCCCCCAGCCACTCGAGTCTCGAACTCTTCCTCAGCAATTCGGATTATTTCTAGCGTCGAGCCCGCCACAGAGTGAGAGCATTTGTCCTCCGTCCTGACCCGGCTCGGCTGAATTTCCGATCGGAACCCGCCTCCTAAAATATAATTTCGCAGGTTCGCTGTATAGTTTGATTTCTGAGCCGAGGTCTCCGCGACGATTCACACGTAACGAATCATTTTCCTCGGTCCAATGACGTGATTTTCGAGCTCCCGCATGAGGAACCATTCCAAAACGGGTCTCGGTGTCTGAGTATACAGTGTCCAATATTCTTTTCATCGTATTCGAGCTTATCGTTTTTCTTTCTGATTTAACAAGTTCTAATTCCTCTCTTGAAGGATTTATTCACGCCTTTATTGGGCGAATGAGGGTTTTCGAAACGCGCTCCCTAAATCTACGGCGAGTGGATTGCACACAATGTGATTCAAAGCGGCGAAAATCTACGAGATCATGCAAAATTTCGAACAACCGATTCTGGCAAGTTGTGAAGAATTCGATAAATGCCGTACAATTGCTGTCGCAGATTTCCTAGTTCACGGACTCCCCGTCTTGCGGAGCCAATCTCCGTTTGGAATCATTCCCGGATCTTACCCACGAACGCGAGTCGAGACTTCGCTATCAATCTCGCTTGATCACTATCGGGGAGTTATTTCAACTTTGATTCTTGATGCCATTCCCACAGTTCCTGCGTTCTGGAGTCCCTAGTCGGGTCGCGTTTCGTCGTTCTAGTAGCAAATCTCCGCCGCGGCTTCTTCCTAATTCCTTTTTTGCTTTCTACAAATTTGAATGACATAACCTCGAATCTTGTTGAAGTCGTCACATTCGTAGGGTCGCAGATTCATTCAGAGATTTTCTTTCGGTGAATCTGTGCTGCCTAATCTGAATTTCTCCGATTCCCAAATCGGCAACATCGCCAGTGTTTCCGAGAAATACCCTTGTTCGCCATATTCAAACTTCTCGGGATCTAGTTGTTTTCCTTCGTCTGTGATTCGGACTTTCCATTTGCCGCGGACGGCTGAGCGATTCGTCCCTCTGACTCGTTCAGCGGATGCAAACCGCTCTTTCCGATCTCCTTGGCGATCGTATTTTCTTTTTCTCAATCCACGAGAGTACCGCTATAAAAACGACTGCGCAGTGAATACGGGTGCCGTGGATCGATGGCTTCGAAGCGTCAAAAAATAGCGCCAACAAAACTCATAGAACTGCTCGAGCTCTGGGTGTTCTACAAATGTATAGAGAGATGGATAGATAGACGGATACATCGATAAATAGATGGATAGATATTGCACTCGATTGACCGATTGCCCGTTTCTCGGCTCCTCCGAGATGACATCCAGCGTTGCATTTTCTCTAGTTCTACAATCGGTCGCCGATGGAAAAGAAAAATAAGCTAGGCTTTCCACCAAACGTCGCCTGGTGATTATATTGCACAATGACCGCTCAGGAGCGTTGATCTGTCCCGTCTGTGTCTCGAGCTGTAGCTGTTCGAGATTCTTATGAACAGAAAATTTTGTTCCGGGCTTTTGATTCTCCGTGTGGTTATTGGAAACGAATAAACAGGTGAGTGTGTTCTGTGTATGAGTGGGTGGAGCAGCAGCAGCGGAAACTGGCCACATCATTGCACTATATGTACATAATAATTGGACGGTCTCTGCTTCGCCTCCGCTGACCGTCGGCGTCTTTGTGTCAACTTCCTTCCGTCGCCTGTATCACCTCTTCCTTTTTCAATTCGCGACCTTGATTTCTAAATCCTAGCGCACTCAACGAATACTCTTTGCTTCTCCTAGGTGTTCTGGTCATATCTTCATGAGGATCCCGGCCGATTCACGGAAATCTCATCAGAACCTCGCAGCGGGAGCGCTCGGGAGGGAGAGTCGGATCCCTCCAGTCAAGTTTCCTCTCGAGCTGGAGTGTCTTTCTATCTCTCTTTCTTCCTGACTCCGGCGACTAAAAACCAGCGAACTCATTCGAGAATTGTACACTGAAAAATCAATCAAAAGGCTCCCTCGTTGTCAATGTATCAGGAAACCGCCGCATTGTGTGTCGGGAGCCATGTTCCGCGCAGCGGAATTCTTCCTCGCTCCAAGTGATCCGGAGTCGTTAGAAGGAACAATATTTGAGTTTGCCTCTTAGCTAAGTTATTTTCCTCCGAAACTAAATGTTTCAATAGAGCATTTGTGCCCTCTGGCGTGCAGATCACAGAAAACTGGTTGCCTTATTCAGGAAAAAAGGCTTCGGGTATGCATGTAGTGGTAAGGTTGGCATCATCGTCCTCGTCCGCGTCTCATGCGGATCGGGAGCGTTAATTCCCATAGAGGGAAATTCCCGTCGGAATTCCTAGCTGATGCGTATGATTCCTCTCGGAAGTCGGCGCGTATTCCGTCTCGTTTTTTTACCCGATTGCTCCGCCGGGTTTTCAGTTGACATTAGGCGAGGGCTGGTGGTGATTCTTGAGCTCGGTGAAAATCTGTGTGAAGAATGACGGCTCCGAGTTGATTTTGAGCATTTTCGATGACAACTTGTTGATGATGAACAGACATCGGTCCCAGAACAGATCACGGTTCTCGCCTTCGATCAGGAATGGTTTCAGCGGATATGAGATCTCGTTACCTGCAATGGGGAGTGGCTTTATGACATTATGTGACTCATTTCCTGAATGAGTCTCCTCGACACAGCGATCGAGGAGCTTCCGACCCCGACTCCCATTCTCGTACGACCCTGCTCAACCCGAAAGACCCGCCCCTTCCGCCTCTCGAGCCGAATGAGAATCAAAGAACGGAATCATTCCTCCTTTCCAAGTATTCCATCGTGCCTCTCCCTTGATTTAGGATGCTATTCGATCATAGAGGACCTATATGCGGTAAGGCTCCCGCATGTTTGCCTTCCTCTGGTATGTATCTCTTTCAGACGGGAGCAGAGACGCCTGGAAAAGCTCCAATCGAGAAATCACTCACCCATGTAGGAATAAGAAAGGTAGAGGCAGGTTAGAACAAGAGCCTGCAATTCGCGTTCCGAGGACACGGAATCTTCGTCGACGATCAATTCCCGGAGTAACATGTAGAGGAACACGACGTTAGCCGGGTTGATGAACGCGATGTCCTGCCAGCCCTGCAGCAGGAGAGATCTGTCGACAGATCGTAGCCAGAGTACGGCATCACCGCCCTGAAAGAACAGAGGTTTTATGAGACTGATCTGTTATCGCCCCCTTTTTCTTCTTCGAGTCATCTATCGTGTTTTGCCGCGGAGACTCAAAGAGCTCGAGCTTCGCTTCTGCGTTCGATAGCCGTCAGCCGTGCTCCGGGGTCGTCGGTGGGAACTTTCTGTCCTACGTCTGCCGTCTATTGTGCGGACATCAAGCACAGAGCCCCCGCTCAGACTCCTCCCTTTACGCAGCGTCGTTTTCACGACCGTCCGAATCGGTTTCGCTGGCACCCTCCATCATCCATCCCCCTATCTTGACGCGATCGTCTGATATCGGCTCTTGCTTTATCCCCATGCTAAAATTGAGCGAGTCCGCTGGTACTACTCATGTAGGTATTGGTAATTAATACTTCGAGCAGACTCATCGGCACATGAGATGGGTTCGAACAACGACCCGAAAAAAAGAGGAAACCCCGGACGTCACGACTGGAGGCTGTGTCGTCCACATCAAGGCTTGTTCCCTTCCGCGCCAAACGTCGTCCACCTCTCGGTTCGCCCAATCTGAGTGAAAGGACTTCTGCAATCATATCTCAAGGGTTGAATGAGCCCCCCTTCCCCGAGGAGTGGTCCATTTTGGTTTCGCGATGACGAGACCTGGACAAGTCTTCTCTTGGATCGCCAATAGCTCACCATCCAGATTTGCTCTAATTTAGCGCCAACACATATCTGACCACCGATGACGTCATCACTCTTCAAACTTCAAAGCGATTACGTCCACGTACGAAAATCTCTCTTACCTGGAAGTCCTTCAGTCGCTTGCATGTTTTGACTAGGAACTCGCCTAAACAGCGGAGTAACTCTGAAGTCGAAGCTTGAATGACAGTTTTCCCCGCGTGCTGAATCTGCTGTCGCATAGGCTTCGGCGAGGGGATGAGCTGCTTAATCGTGGGTTTCGGTGGGAGTGGGGGAGCCCGCTCCAAATCCGCTCGCTTTGCCTGATACGGGAGCAGAGTCGATTGCCTGGACGCTCCATAATCATCCCACCGTTTATCTTGCGGTTTCAGCTCTCGTGGAAAATGTTGCAGATTTTCGCCGAACGCGTTATCCAAATAGTGGTCCTTACGGCAGTCGGACAGGGATTTCGGGTGGCTACTGGTCTGGCTCCCGATGCCTGAGTCGGGCGTGAGGAAATCCTTATCGTCGCGACATTCCTTCTTTTGTTCTAAGATGTCTCGATTGTTGTTTTCGCGGCTGGCTCTCCGTGCCTGACCAAGGTTCTCAGCGCTGGGCGGTCGAAAAACCTGTGCAACCGTATCCTGAGTAATGACCGTTCTCGGAGCGTGGGGGTTTTTGTTCTCTTGTTGAGTTTTGTGTTTTTTCGGTAGACCGAAACTCTTCCAGCTGAAGGAGTTAACGAAGATCGGTTTTTTCAGCTGACCGTTGACCGGTTGCAGGGTTTTGGGGTTTGGTGCGAGAATTTTCGCGTTTTGAACAAACGACTTTGACGGGACGTTCTTCGCATTCTTCAGCTGCTCGTAGGCGTACATTGGGCCGAGCCCCGTCGTCAGGCTTTCCCGCGGTTTCCCGAGACGGCTGCCGTCCTTGGGCGCAACACTCATCACCGTGCCCATTCTGAGTTATTCACCAGGCTCCGGTACTTGTCAACGAAGCATCCAGAGTCGACACCGTCCTGCCTCAAGGGTGGGGGTAGTTACGCCGTTTAGCGTCAAGGCTTAGCTTCTGAGACGTTCTGCGAAGGGGTCGTGCATCGCACTTTGGTCGAACAACACACGGGGGCTCAATTCACAATGAGCTCAAGAACCGGTTGGAAATCTACTCAACTTAGTAAGTCTCTGACTTCACTCGGTGGCCTTGGTCAAGTTGTTCTTGAAGTTGTACACTTAGCTATGTTTGGAGAATGGAGGAGCTCTCTCGGTGGCGAGCACAGCAGCTCTTTCGCCCTCCGAAGCCGGGGTTGGAGGTTTCTGTGGCAACCAGCACTGCGCAGTGCCCTTCTCCGTCCGAGGGAGTCTTGCCCTCCCTTTCTCCCTCCTGAGCATGCATCCATCCATCCATGCATCTATCCATCCATTTGCTTGTCCGCCTGTCCATCCGTCCCATTCGTCGTCCTTCTGCTTAATTGCATATGATGCTGGCTTCTTCCGTCTGTCAACATTGTTCCCGGAATCATTCGTTTCTCGGTGTCATGGTCGGTTTTCGCGGATACTCGGGGAGGGGGTATTAGGCTGCGGGAATGAACCCCCCCCCTCCCCCTTCCGCCCGGCCGCCATGTCTACCGGCGTAGGATCCCGGGAGCGGAGAGCAGCCAATTCAAAGAGTAATGTCGGAATCCCGAGAAGAATCGCTCCAGGGCCGAGATCATTCCCATTCGCGAGCATCCTCTCAAGATGCTCTCAATTCGAATCAAGGCATTCCCAGGGAAAATGTCATATTCCTATTCTCCCAATTTTCGAACCAGCATTGCGAGGAGGGCATCTCCTTCTCCCGAAATACTGTGATACAAGTGTCGTAAAGGAATGGAAAGAGGCAACTATCGCGTTCTCATCCAGCGCTTGAGTCCTGAGGGCTCCGAGAGGGAGAGGGGGGTGGGGCTCAGAGAACGGGTGGGGGGTTAAGTGAGACAAGTTGAGGGCTCGACAGCACACCGGCGAGAGAATCCCGCCGAAGAGCTCGCGTCGTCGAGGAGGGAGGCGCTACCTTCCGGGGTCTGGAGGGACGGGACGGGGACCCCGAGAACAAGAGGGACCAACGAGGGGGCATGGCCAGGTCGGCGTTTGAGAGAGGATGGCCCACAAGATGGCCGTCGCTAGTGTTTGTTGTTGTCGGCAGGAGCAGCAGCGGTTACGTTGTTGTTGTTGTCGACGTCGTTGTCCAGAGCAGTCGTTGACGGAGTAGTGTAAGAGGAAGCGGCGACACAGAGCCCATCGTCCGCAAGCTAATAGACGATTCCTCGCTGGGCCTAGCTCCGGGTTTCCTTGTTGTTGCGGGAGGCTAAATCGTGTAAACTTCGCGCAGCTTTTAAAATGAAATTCCTCTGTGAATTCATTACCTAAATGTTTGGATTACGCGGGACTGAGGTAGGTGCTGTCTTCCACCTGGGCTTAGACCGTGAGTGCGCGCGTGGGAGCGTGGCTTGAGTGAGTGCTTGTGGGCAGCTGGAGCAGCAACTGGTCGGCTCGACGACGTCTGCTCAAAGTATTCGTGACACGCTCCTCAGCTGGTCCGCGCATTACAGGTGTTTCAGATAATCGTGTTGTTGGTGCTCTGCCACGTTGGCAGGAACGGACCGTCCATACGGTCACCAGAAACGTGTGATCGCCATTCGAGCGCCATTGTCCGTCATGTGGTCTATACCAGACTCCAACCGGTACTCGACAGGTGAGAGAGAAACAATCTCATGGGATGCTATGTTTCGCCAGTGGAACTTCCCCGAAGGTCTTCTCGGATCCTCTTATTGGATAATACGCTCTTCCGAAATACGCATTGAGCCTCGGATTATTTTTGAGCCGATTGGCAATGGGAGACTCGTCTTGGAGTACTGTTGTTGGAAAACTGAAGAACTGTCTCTGTCGGCTCACGCCAACGATTTACATCTGTTTCTCCACCATAACTCCAGCAGACCCTACTATTGGAACCGCGGTATCTGACAATAGTATCCTGATGATTCCGCGGCTCGACGAGAGACGGAGTTCAAGCCGGGCACTCCGCGAGTGGTGTATGGCGGAGGAATATAGTATGTGAATACGATGCGAGGAACGTCTACCGCGTTCGCTTAACGACCTGCGCTTATGATGAATAATTTATTCGACCCGTATGGTCACTTTTGTTTAATCAAGAGACGCAGACTACGACGGGGGGTACAGTTTCAGCGTTAGATTGTAATCGATTTGGCAGAGGGAGACTCCAACGAAGGATCGATTGGGACAGGCTTGAGCTTATCTTACCAATTGAAGTCCACTCCTCGCTGGCGGGGGAAGAAGTTTTTGGGGCTCTTTAAGACCCGAAAAAAATGCCGAATCGATCAGGAACTGTACTGGGCCCTCGCGAAGACGAGAGATCAGAGCATATCTGAATGTCTGGAGCAGGGAATTCTGTGGCGGTACATATATCATCCTCCGAAGTGAGCTCGAGGCACGTACCTGCTCGTTTCGCTGGGTGAATCAGGCTGAATTATATGACCATTTTGGCCGTGATGCAGGAGGCTACTGTTCAGAGCAACTCCGTTATCATAACGCTCGGCTAAGTCCGTTAAACCGCGCGCAAATAATGTCCTCTGATCCACTCCGGAGCCCTGTCCTGTGTCAGAGCTCGCACCGATCCGAAGTCCGGACCGGCGTTTTCCTGCATAAGCACTCTGCTGCGAGAGACGGTCTCTTTTTCAGTCGAACAGATTCGAGACTTCTCGTGTCCAAGGTGGGATTCAAATTCGCCTGTATGTAGTTATGTACGTGGAGAGCCGTCCAAGCAGACTTCCACTCTCCCAGCGATATATGACATGTAGAAGAGGACACGCGGTGCTAGGGTAGATCCTGACAAACAGTTCGCAGACCGGAGTTTAGAGCCCCCCCAATTTTGAGCTCGTTCCTCAAAATGAGGCAGGTAACGCAACTCCCATGTTGGGGAGAAAATATCAAACTCTTGGAATCAGCTCCGAAGAACTTCAATGCCCTGGGGTCCGTGAGCTCTCATGGAATGAGTCCTCGGGCGAAGTTTCTCCAGACTGATCTGATCGATCCGCGGTGTACTTTCTAAATATATCGAGGACCAAATGGGGGAACACCGTTGACGTTGAGTCCGGCTCCGGGACGCTCATGGACTCAAGCGTTGTTGCCTTTCAGGTACCGAGTTTCGATGCCGGAGGACTGTCCATTCCATCCGGCACGGGACGTACTCGTGTGGCCGCAAAGGGATGCTAATTCGATAACGGATGTGTGGAGGTGCCCTGTGTGCGGCAAAAGTTTTTTCGGCGAAGAAAATCTCACTCAGCACTTCCACGCACACACCGGAACACGAGGAGGGACTCAACACGTCAAGCGACATATTACGGTAGAGAGTTCCGGACTTGAATTATTATCCGTGTTCGTTGCTCTTCCGGGCGAGAGGATGAATGATTATTATGTATTATCGAATCGTTGAGTCAGAAAGGAGACAGGGGCGGGGGACCTGAAGAAGCTTGCGGTAGCGTTAGCACGGACCAATGAGAGAAACTTTCGTTGCCGCTTGCAGGAAGGTGACCGAGTTTGTCTTGGGACGTTTTGCGATATTATGCGTTGTGATGTCATTGAACGCCAGTTGTCCGAGGCTCTCACCCCCCGAACGAGTTCCCGGAAAACAGAGAGCCCAAAACCAAAAGCCGATTGCAATCGGCAATCCATGGCCGTGCTAGAGAATCGCTGCAAAGCTGTTATGCAACAGTGCACGATCGGACTGCTCAACGTGCTGTCAGTGAAGGAGTATAAAGACGTCGAAGGTTAGCGAATTTATTAGCGAGGAATATTCATCCATCTCGGTAAATCGAAATACGTCCCGATCAGCGCGGTCACGGGAGCGAAATCTCAGCCCATCGTTTCCATTCGCAGAAGCACTTCACCAGAACATTTGCTCGTACCTGACCTGCGAAAGGTACTGGGAGGAAGGTCCACGCGATACTCGCTTTTCGCCCTTCCTTGCCTCCACTATAGGCTTTCTCATAGCTTCCGGCTTCTTCGGATGCTATTGGGTGGTGTGGATCGCATTCGAGTAAGCTTGCCTCGCTTGGAACGGATTCAGATATCGACAAGCGGTAAATCATTGACCTCACTCGTTTCCAGCACTGTTCGACCGAATAACGTCCGTGCCGATACCCTTCCAGTACCGCTGCCGCGGCTGAAAACACTTTGCTAGAGAAATTACCTAATGGGACCACGATACGGAAAGTGAACTCGAGCATCACTATCTCACGGCAACGTTCGGCACCGCTCGTGACCAATTCGAAAGCGTCCCACCGCTACAGCGGTCGGTTACAACCCAACAGTTATTCGCAGAGGTATGAGCGACCGGATGATTCTTACACGCCAAGTGCAGACTAGCCACACGTATCGTTCATGATTAAATCGCGCCGCGATACGCTCCGATGATCCTGGACCCCTTGTCGAGTCAGGCGCCGAAAAGAATATTCACCCATTTCCTTGTTGAGCTTGAACTGGCATGATTCCGATTCCGGTGAAACATTGTCGATGAGAGAATTGGTCCGACCAAACCCTCGTTACAATCAAAAATATCGTCGGTCGTCTGTCGCAACGCGGAGACATAAACACACCTATCGATGGTTTCCTTCGAGAGCGTTGCTCTTTGACCCTCAGTGTTCATCTGCAGGGCGGGTTTCATGACATGTATCTGATAAATGAATTCCAGAGAAATCAGCGGACCAGAGTTACCCCTGAGGAGACTCAACTCTCATCACCATCGGAGCACCCCATACGACCACATTGGTCAGCACGCTTCCCAGCCTCCCACGGTGCCCGCTATGCAACAGCCCTCCCGACAAGAGTTCCATGCTCATCAACAGCGGGAATATCAACAGGGCTCTCGGTTCCACTACGAAAGACCGCTCCGATCGCCGATCAAACCCGCCAAGGAGCTCCCGTCACCTGTATTCGAGCGAGTTCACGAGATCAAGGAGTACTCGAACGCATCCACTCTACCTTCGGTGAGTCGCTCTTTCACATCTTGTGTGGGCTCTTCCACAATGACCCCCATCCCAAGGGAATAATTGGGCTTGTTCCCGCAAGCGGAGTTGCTCCTTCGTATCGAAGGAGGTTCTTTCTTGATTTCGGCCCGGCGATTTGGATTCCCCAAGATATGGCTCCGGCTACCCCGAGATACGGCCACGGCTCTCCCAACGTGATCTGTCATTTGGCATATTGGCAAAAAAATCTGTCTCTCGAATCCATCCAATCATAGATTGGCTTCTCCCTGCTCTCCTGCGGGTGCCACAACCACTAACCTAAACGCGATTCCAGCACGAGAGCTCCTTTAGGCGCTCGAGACTCTCGGACTTCGAACGCGACGAGTTCGACGAGCATTTGATCTACTATCCCGCTGAAAACCAGCTGACCTTCTCTCAACATCATCCGCAGCAGCTGCCCTCAAACCCGTATGCTCAGCAGCTCCAGTCCGGACTCAGCTTCAGTCCGCAGCAGAGCGTCGGCCCCGCGACGGCCGCTCTATACGAAATGAGCCACACTCGAAGTCCGCATTATGAGCAGGACCGCACCGTTGAGAGACGGTAACTCGTTGTTGTCGACGACCGCAGTGAACTTTGTACATACAATTGTTATTTGTATTGGTCGCGGACGCTCCGTCCGGCCAAGAATCTTCCTACGAATTTTATCCATATTTGTCGGAACTTCTATCCGCTACTACTGATAGCTTTTGGAGAACCTTGATGTTCCCTCTTTCCATTCAATCCTGCTGTGAAACGCATGACCGTGATAAAATCGAGACAAGAAACATTTTTCGAAGTACCTACAACTCATTGAGCATTTGAAGCCATATTCCGCTCGTTCGGTTGTTTGGATCCGAGTCGTCCCCCAACGACGCGGGTGTATGGATCCCACCAAGTAGCGTTCGAAGAGAGAGAGTGAAAAACCCAAGGTCACGTTACCCTCATCTCACGTTCTGTCCCCACTGAGCACATCCGATATTTTGAAAGTCTCCGGTGAACGAACAAAGCCTAGTCTCTCTTACACGTCTTCACTCCACACTCATTGTAGTGTTCATCCCCCATTCCATGAATGAAACCGATCAAATCATAATGATACTCATAGACCTCGATACCAAGCTCGGGGACCCATTACCGATTGTGTGTTATGAAATGTGACTCGCTTTTTCGTGCTCTGTGCTCACGATTGCCGAGCTCGTTCACTTCTCAATCCTTCATTCAGAATTTGTAAGGATACGAACGATGTCTGTCTGCTCATTCCCCAGCCGACTTTGCTTTTTATCCCACGTCTCGGGAATTCAGAGCATATTGTTCCCTCCTACCGAATGGAATTCAGTTTTTCCTCCCGAAACTCTGCATTCGTTTCCCCATTGGTTGAACCCTAGAAGTGGAACGGAATGAAAAATCGAATGATTTCTAGGCTTTCCGCCGCGCTCAAGAATATTCCGCCCTTCAGTTCTTTCGAGAATGCTACGACTTCCCCAATGAACGAAACGCCTGAGAACGAGCATTTCTCGTCGGTCGGTCGGTCCATTTTTTTCTCGACAAAACAATCAATAGGAGACTATAACTCAATGAAAACCATCCGATATCAGACTTGCGGATCTAGATTTCATTCATCGCTAAACAAAAACGGTTTGATCCGAAACCATCGCAAGACAGAGGACTTGGAGGTGCTGTTGACTGCTGATAGCGTTTAACTCGAAAGTCCTGAGCTTCATCTCGAGCCGTTCAGGTCTGTCTAGGCCCCGAGTCTAGCGCAGAACCGCGAACGCTTTCCCCCCTTCCTCCCCACTCTCCGCATACAGATCGCATTTAGACTCTTTCCATCCCAAGCCTGTCGCTAGAGCACGAATGTATCACTAGCCCCCTGAACATCTGAACATGCATTATCAGCTGCGGTTTCTAGACGTTATCGAGCCTTCTCGGAAGTCCCTGAGCAGCTCCGTTCATTATTATCAGGGACTGACTTCCCCTCGTTGAACAACGGAGCGTGTTCATGGACGCGGAATTTTCTCCGCAAACTGTTCCCAAAAAACCTCCGCCGCCCACTTGTTGATGGCGGGACCCGTCATCCTCACAGACGTGACTTCGCACTTGAAACATATTCTAATGGCGCCATGTGGTCCAATTAAGCTCGTAACAAACTCGTGACCAGTCGACCCAAACAAGGCAAGTGGACAAAGTCCCGAGGAGCAGCTTCCGAGACGCGTTTATGCTCCCGAAATCGTTCTGATCTCGTCGCGTCGGAGTGAGCGTGCGTATCTCAAGAGGCACGAAAGGCTGAGATCGATGAGATCAACTTTCACCCCATCGGCAGACACCGACTCGATTCTACACCGGCAGATCGAGATTTTTGATCGACGTTCATCAATCACTTTTGATTCGAATTTCAAGATGGCCTTCCGTCCCAGACCTCGAAGTGATTTTTGTGGACCCTATCGAGGCGATCACGTCCTTGTTCCGCTCTCGATTGACTGAGGCGTATACAATCCCAACATCAACTTGTTTTGGGAATATATCGTTTACGCTATGTGGGAGAGGCTTGCATTGCATCCGTCCCTCTGCAGGTTCCTATTCAGAGAGGTCAAGGGCTTTGCGTCCCAGCTCCAATCCGTTCCCTATCTTAGAGTCTGTAAGATTAACGCTTGATGAAACAGCACATCACCAGGCACCTCTGTCTAAGCATACTGATATTAGAATACCCGTCAACACCGATCGAATAATTTCCTGTCAATCAGGAGAACAATGCCACAAGTCTTCCTCGATTCAGGAGTTCTCCCGCGATCGATCGGTCGATCGATCGATGGACTTGTTATTTCTCATTTTCGCCGTCGATCGATTGATCCAACGAATCTCCGCAAGGCCGACCTCCACGTCCACAGATTCAGGCTACAGATTGACGGAGGGGAATTCGATGCACCAGCTAACTGACCGAAGCATAGCAGACTTCCTCACGACGCGTCTTTCGCGTCTTCGCTAGACTTTAGTTCCGAACCTCAGCTTCCGGTTGACCGATTTAGATGAACGCAAGTTTACCATTAGCATCACCATCTTCTCGGAATAATTGAACCATTTTTTATACCGAACAAATCGCGGACCTTGTTCTCATCCGCGTCGCGACCGTCGTCGTCATGTTTGGGAGTTTTCTCTGCCTATTTCACGTATTGTAAACATGGACCGAATCAATAAACAACCCTTTACTACGGATACCCTGGAGCTCGGATGTCCTGTTCCCTGATGCGTTCATCTACTAAGCGGCATGTGATTGCCATTATGCGAGGAGTTATCTCATATGAAGCTCGGAAGTCGGATGTAGAGGAAATTCGCTCGCAAATATGTGTTCCATTTCAGTTTTCCCGAACAAAGCTTACTCCGACCTGAACTGGGCTCGTCGAAAAGATTATATTTTTCCGCTTGATATGAGTCCACTTATTCAGGCCGAACGGAGCGCTCGGCCAAGTCGAGTTGAAACAGAGCACATTCCGGTACATCTACGGTATGAGATGCCCCGGCTCGGCATCCTGAGTGCGCGACTTACGCTCGAGGCTATCCTGCCTCGAACTGGCCTCCTGAAGATTCGACCGCATCCGGAATTCGGACGACATCTAGAATCGTTTTTTCTAAATTCCACCTCCCTGACCTGCATCGCTTGCCCTGCATCCCTAGGTCGGCAGCTTTTGACGGGAACCCTCTACAGTCGTCCAGAGTCCGTCAAACTCTGAGGCGTGGGCATACCGGCAGCGAGGATTATCGGAGGGCTCTTTGTGAGTCGGATAAGGGTGGGAATCCTTGGTCTGCATTGAGACCGAGCTGATGGGAGTTCTAACCTGTCTGCAGTCGACCAGGATTGTGACAATGTATTCATCGAATCGTTCAATGCTCCAAAGCGATTTTCGGACGTTATGGATATGATTGAACGAATTCTCCGCTCGCTTTCAGTCTGTCAGTCTATCTAACGAGTATTCGCAGTCAACTTTTCGCAGTCTCGAGAGGCATATTTCGCCGCAGCTGGGCTGAGAGCAATGGGGTTTTTTGAACATCTTGTGACGCAGTTCGTAGGCTCCGAGTCGGCAAATGAGGCTTCTAAGGCTACATTCCACGGGTCGATCCGGAGCGTCGTTCCCTTTGTGTCTCTTTGGGAAACGAAGGCTACTCTACCAGTGGAGCCTCGCGTCTTCCCTCGATTCGCGGCTCTCGCTCCGCGATTCCTCGATCAGAGTCTCCGATTCCACTGAGTGAGCATGGCATGATTCCGGGACACGATTGGGAAGGAGAGAGAAGCCGATCGATCTCATGGCAGAGCGTGATTCCTCACAAGTCTATACGTTGTTCACACACGCGTAATGGCCTAGCGGTCAGCGCGCACGGCTGCAAGCATCGCCCTCACTCTACGTATACTGCCGCAAATAATCCTCTCCCTGACAGCAGATTTTCACGAGTTATACTCCTCGAGCACCACATCGGTTCGGAAGAACTCTCTCCTCAATCGGGGGTTGCAGAGGACCCGATAGCGCCATTCTGGAGAGGTGAACTCTCTGGAATGGCCGAACCTTCGACGTTTCGCGCTTGTTCCCCAAAGTTTAGTTCACAAATGTTTCGGTCACCAGCGTCGCATCTATCTGAGGGCTTGAGGAATATATTTACTGTACAGAAAACAAGCAGTGAATCTCCTCCCTCAGACTGATTCGGATCCGAGACATCGTTCCCAGAAGACCGTATTTGCGGAGCATTGAATCTGCGCAAACGATGCATTCGGCTGTGTGCAGCGACATGAATGTAGAGTTCCCCCGGACACCCAAGCACTCGCCTCTGACGAGGACGAATCTAATTATCATGCCAGTGATGCCGGACAAAGCCCAGCCCATCTCGCTCCGAGTCTGCGTTTCGATCGATCAAAAACATGATTTCGGATCGCCTATTAACCATCGTATCGTAATGTCATAAACTACGGGGATACCTCGTTCGGTCCGGAGCTTCAGCGCGCAGACTCGCCATCGAATCCTCGAGGTTTGGGTCGGAATCCTTGCCGTTGACGTCGATGGAGCTGCGCGTTTTCATTCCGGGAATTCGCCGATTCGGCAACGGAGGAATAATTATCCGGCGAGCCGGCGGGCGGTTTCCAGTCCGGGTTTCTTCCGAATCGTGATAGTTGGTTGACTGCGACGCCGTCCCATGGGTTCCTGAGCTGGCCACCGCATTCCTCTCGGGAATTGTGCGACAGACATGATTGCATAAAATGAGAGACTACGCATCTGCAGAGAAGAGAGAGGAGTGGCTTTGAGAGGCGACAACTCTTCTAGAATCGATCCAAAGTAGCGAAATATTTCCATTAGAAGCGGAGTCAGAGCTAGACCCGAGTGAGCAGGGAAGCGCACAAGATTTTTTTTCGGGGGGGGGCAACAAGAGTTTTAGAGGGGGCCAGACGACCAGAAATGATGACGCGCCTTCTCCGGTTCCGTGCTTCAGCATTGAAACCGAAGAATTTTGGCAGGGGCCATGGCCCCCTTCTGCGAGTTAGCGAAAGTCTCCAGTATTCCTGAGCTTGGTGAATTGCTGTAACGGCTC